TGAGATGCCCCTGTAGTTGTTACAGTTTTTGTGGTCCCGCTTCTTAAAGAGGGGGACCACCAGGGCATCCTTCCAATCCTGCGGAACCCGTCCAGTGGCCCAGACTGTTGTTATGATGTCATGTAGGGCAGTCTGTGCACAAATGCCACCCTCTCTCAGCATTTCGCTAGGGAGATCATCTCTGCCTGGTGCCTTTCCTGGTCTCAGCCTCTGGATCGCCCTTAGTACTTCCTCAACAAATGGCACCTCATCCAGCTACTCACAGGGGGTGCCTTCCTCCTCCAATATTTGAGGCACTGCAGCCTCAGCAGGGTCATCCCCACTTTGTCCCATGATGTTTTCCAGCCTCAGTGATTTCCCTCACAGAAATGCTCAGCAAATCTGCAAACCTGTTCCTGGGGGTTGGATATTGGATCACCGTTCTTTCCCCTAACCATGGTAATAGGTGTGGCGTTGCAGGTTACTTTTTATGGAGTTAAATAGGGATTTGTGATCGTGGGCCATTGAGGCAGACTCCATCTCCTCAGCAACCCGCGACCACCACCCATCCTTGAAGCGCCTCATGGCTCTCCGAACCTCCGAGCGAAGGCTCCTCATTCTCTGACGTAAGATGCTGTAGACGATTAGATTGGGCCTGTCGTTTTTTCTCAACCATCCTGAACACCTCCTCTGTCAGCCAGGGTCTCTGGGGAGGTCTGGACCGCGTACCCAAAGCAGCCATTGCAACTGCATGAGTCACAGTCCTAAACCTCGCCCATTTACCCACGACATCAGGAGGAGTGGGGGACGATGTCAACCCCAGCCACAAGCGATTATGAAAGTCTCGCTTGCAACTTCCATAAGCTAGCTGAGACCAGGCCATCTTAGGTTGGAATGGTGTCCTGGGTGTACACCCACCGCCGGAGTGGAAGAATGGCAGGCGCATCTTACAGATGACATGTTGATGGTCAGAGGGCAGATCAGCTCCACTGTTGGTCCTGGTGTCAATGACATGGGCTCGCATCTGCTGGTTTGTCACTATGTAGTCCAGCAGATGTTCTTGCTTGGACCTGGCATGCATCCATGATGTTGTGTGGATGCGCCGATGCTGGAACAGCATATTGGTAATTACAAGCCCATGGGCTGCACAATAATCTAGCAGCTTCCTACCATTGTTATTGAGCTGATCTGGCCCATGCCTTCCAATCACTACAGACCAGGTGCCAGCATCATGACCAAATCGGGAATTGAAGTCACCCAACAAGATGACTCTATCCCGAGGGGCCACTTTTGCCAGCACCTGTGACAGGAGGTCATAGAAGGCATCTGACTCATCGGGCTTGCCTGCATCCCTCCACGGATGTTCGTCTTCGGTGGGGGCATAAGTAATCACGACCACCACTCCTCGCCTCCGGTTGATGGGGTTTGGCCAGGAGACGTCATAGATGCCCCCAGCACAAGCTTATTAGTTAGATATTTTCGACATGGTTTAGTGGTAATTTATTGAAGGTGGAGGGGTTACCAGCCCCTCGCACTCGTCCAGAGCCCCCATTTAGTCGCTGTGGTGGCTACAAACGCCCAGAGGGGAAAGGCCAATCGGAATTGGCCCTCCCATCACGGCACTGTCCACGACAACGTTGCCTGTCCGGCACCACGAGGAGGTAGGGGGTTGTTTTGCACACACGTACGCACACAGACACACATACACACACAGATACATACACATAGACACACACAGACACACATACACACAGACACGCCACCACCAACAACCACGCGCTCTACCTCCACAGAGCGCACGCGCTCACTGCAGAGCATTCCAGGGCTGTTTCCGAGTGGTTTGCATGCAGAGAAATCGACCCTTCCCTATCGATGGTTTCTCGCTTGAGTTCGCTGCGATGTCCAGGTTCAGAGTTTTCAGATGCCTAATATTTCACACAAAATCACCATCATCACCATTACCATCAGCAGCTGCCATTGTGTCTCCGTCTCGCCACTGCTGGATGTAACAAGCACTGTCCATGTCGAGGTAGTGGGGCAGCCCTGAGAGTGCCGCCGCACGGCACTGCTGATGGAAGGGCCTCCTTCTCCACAGGCGGCAGTTCGAGAGAGCCGCTCTGGAGAGTGACTGGGCCTGCACTACTCATGGCTCGACCACATCACAACTAGTTCCACTCTTAGACTTGTTGATGATGTTCGTTCTCATATCAGAGCACTGCTCGATAGGCTCCTAACAGCTGACTCATCTTTGGTTATGCTCATTATCCATGCACAACATCCTACGCGTGTGTCCTCATTTGTTTATAATTCATGTAAGCTATGAAACAAAGATAATGACAAAGACAACTTAATCAAAGTTGAAAAATACACGACGAAGCTTGTAGAGGTACTTGTTGGGACTTGCACTGAGACAGAGGAGCACGTGAACCAGAACGTGCGCCAACTGGAGACATCGCACTGCCTGTTAACAATGTTATGTCGGTCTCTAATGGGGTCACTAGGCAACAGACTTTACAGATCTCTTTCTTCTCATGAGACCTACAGACAGTGAACGGCGTGAATGAGATCCACACGGGTAAACGTGTCTCGGGTACTGAACTCACAGGGTGGCCAGTCTCGGATACTTAAGTTCGAGATTTCTGCCTTGAACCGTGGAGAAACGCCACGTGCACAATCCGTGAAAGCCACTGCAGAGAGGAAGTTAGAGTTCCATGCAATCCAAGAATTTGAACTTCCTCTGTTCGGTCGCTGCCGCGGCCACGGACATTGTCTCTTAGTCATGTTCCGTCAGAGAGTAGCGCTCAACAAATTAAACAAAACACGAAGGCCACAAGGGACATTTAAAACTTGTCAGCTTAGTTATTTAAATATTTAGACAGTCCAATTGCCGGGATGCCATGCCAGAAGATCGAACTGAATGGGCGACCTCCGGACTGTGGGGCCCGTGGGACCGATGATTGTGGGAAACTCGCGACGGTGGCGAAGGCCCCGTGCCGATCGCTTCGGCGGCACCGCAGGCCCCTCAGCTCCCTGGGCCACACCGGCCCCTGGCGCCGGATCTCCTTCCACTGTCAAACATGCGCGGCCTCTGAACCAATGGAACAAACTGCATGGAGCAGCGGAGACTAAACGTCACAAACCTGGCTCAGTTATTCACGGAGTGGTGAAGTAGGATATGTCGTGACGAGTGTGTGTGTCGTGACGCGTGTGTGTGTGTGTATGTTGTAACGTGTATGTGTGTGCATGTGTCTTTGCACATGCAGCGGTTAATGCGTTACACTATGAGCCCGGCGAATTGAGATCGATTCCCGTTCACGGCCACCAACAGTGACGAATATTTTAATCGGTCATGGGCGTCCCCTAGGTCGACTCAGCCTCAAACGAGTACCTGGTACGGTGTGTAAACATCGCCACTATAGAGACAAAGCTGACCAGGCGTGGTGCTAACTTGCCACAAAAGTCTGCTTTGGATAAAAGGGAGATATTTGTCTTTGCACCACGAACCCAGCAGCTAAGATGAGTGGCGAGCGATATCTGCACCAGTCTTGAACCTCCCAAATGTCGACTCTGGCTTAAATGAGTACTCGCTGCAGTGTGCGATCAGCGCTGGGCAGCAAAGGTGGCCGGGTGTGGAGGTAGCCACCACACTTTGTGTGCCGTGCCGGCCTTCGTCGGAGCTCACGAACGGCACTCTCCCCAACAGCCTGTTAAGGCGACACCGGGGCCCTTTGTTTTTGTACTTCTCTGTGTCTTTATTTGACTGTGTACGCATTTGTGTGTACATGGCTGTGTTGCACCTGTGTTGTTGTAATATCATAGCACGCACAGAAGTAGTTTTGGTGGTTTCAAAATATCTAGTTGTCTGCTCAGGAAGTGGATTGGTACTTCTGCTGAAATTCATAGAAGTTGAATCTGAATTTTGATAATTCTGCTTCTGCGGCATATGTCGTCAATGTGGTGGCCAAACATCCCCTGTCGAGTATTCCCTCAGATCCCGTCACGTGCTGGCTGCATCGGCCAAATGGTCGCGTGGATTTTTCTCCGGGTCCTCTGGTTTTCCCTCCACATTTATAAACATGCGTTTAAAGTTTTGCCTGATGTATATATACACGTGATAAGTCACTTTGCTGAGCTATCATTTGTGGGCCAGGTCGCTTCTGAAAAGAGCTATACATCTCAGTGGGCATCAGCTGCTAAAATAAAGAAGATAAATTAATGAGTCACGTGGGCAGAGCACTCTGGCGGGGCGCTGCGCGGCAGGCGGCTCTCACGGAGCGGTGGGGACGCCGAGAGCCTCGCAGTAGCGTCATACACCTGGCTCAGGCAATGAGCGTGCTCATTCGTGTTACAATGCGTGATACACAAAATATAATACAAAGTGCAATCTACGTATCTGGGAAACTGCGTTGATTTGTGAAGTAGTTTTGCCGTAAGATGCAGGGGCAGGGTTGGAGCGTGACTGCGCTGAATGGGCAGTCGGGGAGTGGCGAATCTCCTCCCTCCCATCAGGGTCGTGATTACATTCAAGAATCGATCTTGTTTTGAAGTTTTCGTCACTGCAGGAACCCCATACTCTTTGGTTCTTTCGGTAAAGTCACGTAGGTAGAAAAATAAAGAATAAATTATGACGTTTCAATCGCAACACAAGCAATCGTCATCAGGTAGAAAGATATCTACAGATGTATCTTTCTACCTGATGACGATTGATTGTGTTGCGATCGAAACGCCGTGATTTATTATTTATTTATTTCCCCTACGTGACTTTACAGAAAGAACCAAAGCGTATTCAATAATCGATTGTCTCTTTTTAACGTTGTGGTGAATTTTATCAGCTCAATGAGTTGTATGGTCCTATTAACACAGCAGTCTTGTTGAGACGAAAAGCTAACCGATCCCTAATCACGTGATCGATGTGCGAACCGCTGAAGCTCGGGGGAATGGATATCAGTTGTTCCCCCCCCCCCCCCCCCCAACGTCCGTTGCTAACCTCTCCATCGTGATGCATCTCTTTTCTGCTTCAGAATGCAAAAACACGAAGTGCCTCGCAGCCTCACAATTTTGCCAGACGAGGACCGAGCAGGAAAGCGCCGATTCAGGTGAGGGAGACTCTCTGAGCCGTACTAGGCGAGGTGCATGCGGCCTGCATCTCATGTTGGAGATGCACGGTGACACGAGGGCGCAACCGTCCCTCACCCCACGAATGGCGAAGCGCAGCGATCCCGGCTCCTTCTGCACTCATCGCTGGCCACCTCTCCCCTCTCATCTCACTGTCTCACTACCGCATTCTCCACGATCTCTGCTACCTCTTCCTCTCTTATCACTCCACTCCCCTCCACACTGTCTCCTACCTTCCCCTCTGATCTCACTCCACTCCCCCTCCACGCTCTCTCCTACCTCTCATCTCACTCTACTGCCCTCTCTGTATTCTCCACTCGGCTTGATATCGAAGCCTCCCTGTCAACCTTCCCTCCGTGGGAGGCCCATCAGCTCGCTGCCCTTGAGAGCCACGTGTGGCCGATGCCTCGGCTGGAACTCAGGGGGCGAGTCGGCTCTGCCGGCTCCACGCTCTGATCCCCGAGCCAGCAGATGTACGAGTTCACTCCTCGCAGTGTTAATGGGGGGAGGGAGGCTTTGGGGGGCAGTCACAGTCCCTGGGTTCAAGCCGTGCTGTGCAGCAGTACCAAGTGGCTCGGTTCCATCAAGATCTCTAAGAGAGTACACTTATCAGATTGAAACATTTGCAAACTTTCATTAAAAGAGGAACAATTCGACCCTTCCTGGCGTCTGTTACGAAAGTCAACTTCTCTGTCGAGTGAAAGCATGTCCCTATTTTAGGCACGTGTTTATATGAAGTGGAATCTCCGCTTGTGCAACGTTATCCAATGCTAGCGGTTTCCAAACGAGCTTTAAAACAGGGTCAACCCCCACCACCTGCCACTGGACACCACGCAGCCAAAATAAATCCTGCCACCACCAACAGCTGTGAGCAGGCCACCGGCCCTGGATCGTCTGTTGTACGGAATGGTTCCTCGCGGTAAAGTGACCATCAGTTTCTTATTTAGTTCTACGCAACTTTCTGTTTAACATCTTAAACCGCTCGTGTCTGGTCACAACGTGAATTTAAAATGTAGGTTTCCGGAATATTTGCGATCCCATATTTGTTTTGTGGGTGAGGTCACATTTGGAAGTTTTTATGCCAAAATTCTTGTCATGAACCCTCACTCGACGTGATTATCACCTTTACAAATATCATATTTGCACCTGGCCAATATATGGATCACATTCTGCTTGCTCGCTCCCTGTGCTGCAGAGTGCCAGATGCGACTCTGTATGGAGGCCAAGACGGAGTGCGAGGCGCCACTCAACAAGAACCTCTCTGGTGCTGAAGGTGAGAGACGGTCGACTCTGAATCGAAACGTCGACCTCTGGTTTTCAAGTCCAGGGGACTTAGCCATTGCACACAGGGTCGATTATAATTGAATTGAATCGTGCCCCTGCATTGGAACAATTCAAGGATTTGCTTGGTGAGGGGGTGGGGGTTGGAATTGAATAAAAAAATAAAGCCGCCCACGACAGTGGTTGCCATGTTGTGATTACTCTCGCCCGCAGTTAGAGAGCGGTGATGCATCTGAGAGGCTCTCACGTGGCCATGTGATGGACATAGTCCCTCGTGTTAAAGCGCCTGGGCCACTGTCTGTGTGCCGTGCGCTGCGTTTGTAGCACTGTGCAGCGTGCACACTCAGCTCTCTCGGCAGGTTCTTGGAGCAAATGGGCTAAACCCCGTTTGGAAATGACGTTATGAATAGGTAAATAATTCTAGAGTGACACATTAAGCTAAAATGCATGATCAGTAGGCATTTGTTGGGCAGAATTCAATGTGTTCATTGCACAGTAGCAGTGCGTGTTCCCTGCTATGACTAACGGATGAGAGACCTGAACAATGTCAGGAAATTGAACACAATTCTGAAAAGTGTGAAACAGAAGTGCATCGCAAGATGCGTACTCACCATTACATAGAGAGACAAGAAGAGCAACACATGGATTGGAGAATGCACGCGAGTTAGAGAATACACGCGAGTTAGAGGGACCGTCGGCGTGCTGTGCACTGCCTGTTTCGAGTGTGCATGCACTGTTTCACCCCAGCGGTGGTAACACGGTCGGCGCTCCCCGGCCCCCTCTGTGCTGCTCTCAGTGTGCGAGGGGGACGGCTTTGACCGCACCGACCTGGACTGCCTCCTTCTGCACAGGAAGTCGATGGCGGAGCTGACCGGTGAGCTGGGACCTCGGCAGCATCGGCACAGCGAGCACACACACCTGCACGTGTACACACTCACACCTGTCCATGTACACACACTAACTCAAACCTGTCCATGTACACACACTCAATCACACCTGTCCATGTACACACACTCACTCACACCTGTCCATGTCCACACACTCACCCACACCTGTGTACCTGCACACCAGCCCATTCCACATACCTGCACATACACACACCTACCCAGGTACACACACACCTGTCCAGATCCACACACACTTCCTCGTGTCTACCTGTCCACCAATACACCTGTCCACCTGTGCATCTCTACCCCTGTTCATGAGTACACCCTCCCCTGCCCACATGCTAACCCGCACACCTGCCAAGCTGTCATGGACGCATACCTGCACAGCACAGACATGGAGCCCCCACACGTATTAAGTACTTCAATGCATTAATGCACAAACATTACCCACACAGCACTGGTCTGTGAGACTTGTGGGTGTGTGTGCTTGTGTGTATGCACGGGGGGGAGTGGTTGCGGAGCGGTTAGCATGCTGCGCTGTGATCTTGTACGACCTGGGTTCGATTCGCGCTCACGGTCAACAGCAGTGACGATTATCTTAACCCTTTCCTGAGCCTCCCTTAGTTCGACTCAGCCTCAAATGAGTACCTGATATGGTGTGTAAACATCGGCACTAGGGAGTCAAAAGCGGCCAGCAGTGGTGCTGGCCACTCACCCTCTCGGGTGCCGTGCCGGCTTTCATAGGTGCTCGCTAACAGCACTTGCTCCTACAGTCTGTTAAAGCTATACGGGGGATCTTTGTTTTTGTATGAATGTGAGGGAGTGGTGGCGTAGTAGCTTGCGTGCTCCACTATCAACCCAGTGACATGGGGTCAACTCCTGAGCAGGGCTAATATCAGTGACAAGTCGTGTCTGCACTTGTCCTGGACCTCCTCCAGGTCCACTCAGCCTTACAATGGGTACCTATTGCAGTGTGTAAAACATGAGCACTGCGGAGACAAAGATGGCCATGCACGGTGCTGGCCACACCCCCTCGGGGCGCCGTGCCCTTCTCAATAGCTGCTCAGTGGCAACAGCTGTCCCAACAGTCTCTGAGTGAACGCGCGCGATCTTTGCGGGTGTGCGCGTGTGCGAGCAGATTGCAAGGCTCAGGGCTACTTGAAGGTCAAGCGCGAGTGTTTCAACAGGGTGTGGTCGAACATCGTCCGCACTCAGGGTGAGTGCAGCGGTGCTGCTGGCGTCTCACCACGCCCGCTCCCGTGGGCCGGGGCTGGCCCAGTGCACTCCGTGTGCTGGCTGCCCGTGAGCGGCGCCCAGCGGCACCGCTCAGGGCCAACCCGGCGTGATCGTCGCTCCCTCGCAGGGGAGACACCACTGCAATCCATAGCCACAGGCACAGCGCGTAGTCATAGCCATAGCGGTGATCGGCGCACCACCGCGATGTGAACTCTGCAGCCTGAGGTCCATTCAAAAGCCACGGCGAACGTCGGCGGCGAGTGACATCTCAACCAGTCCTGGCACCTTCACGAACCTACATGACCAGCTTGGTGAAGTATGGTCAAACAACACCCATGACCGATACGGCATGGGGAGGCCTTTGTCCACAAATTGACTGTAAATTGTGTTGCATTCACTTCAGCTCACCCTTAATTACAGAGCCTTCCACTGTCAATGTCACCAAATGGTGCCCAGTAATGCCTGAATTGTATCTCCTATAAAATCAAATCGTTAACTCGCATAGCTACGTAGGGGTCATCATTAGTACAGTCTTGAAGTTAATTAAGTTAATTAATTGAATAAGAAGAGTCGATACAATATGGTAGTTGATAAAATGTGTTTCTTGGCCATTGTGAGATTTTAAAAAAAAAGTGTCACTCCATCTGCTGCTGTGAAATGTAAAACACCACACGGGTTACATTCCTGTGAACACGACGTGTATGCTGCATGGGCTATGGCGACACTTGCAAGGAACTGAGGTGGTTTTGAACAATTCCCATATGGCCTGGAGCACCGCTCTCAATGCAGTTCAGGCAAATTGTCAGGCACCGTGCAGTAGAGCGGCACGCACTCCCGGTGTGTGTTCCACTGCCCAAGGAGACGCTCGTGTACCGTACTGCATCGCGTTGTGATATCCTGAGCTGTGTGGTGTCAGTGTGAGGAGGGGAGCCCCACCAGAAGTGAAAATAGGGTCACAGCGGGGTATGGGTGAGACCGGGGGTGCCTGGTTGTCTGGATGAGTGGTGGTGCATTGGTTAGCGCACCGTGCTCTGAACCTGGTGACCTGAGCTTGATGCTTGACCACGGTAGCAATCAGTGGGGAGTAATCTCTGAACCAGTCCTGGGCCTCCGTTGTGCAATGTGTAAACATCAGCACTGGGTAGCCACACGACCCACTCATGTGACACGTCAGCCTTCATAGATGCTCACTAACAGCACTTGCCCCATGAGTCTGGTGGCGACTGTACTAGCGGTGCGTGTCTTGTGTTTCTCCACTCCTCCCAATGCAGCTGAAGCCCTGCTGAAGCGGCCGCATGTCTCCGACGACCTTGTGGGTGAGTATCTCTCCTCCAATCCCACCACGGCTGACCAACCCTCACCCACCCATCCACACCTCCTCTGTCGTGTCTCCAGCGTGACCCATCTGTTGGTGTTCCCATGCCATCTCAACTGCCCAGGCCCGACTTCCACCCTCATAAAAAAACCCTTTAGAGTTTAGAGGCAACTGGCTCTTGCTACAACTTGGTAAAGACCACCACTGGCCAACTCGATTGTCTTTTACAGGAGCCAAGAGCACAGTTGGGCTCTTTATTGAACCTGAACAAACTTACTACCATCCCCAAATCCATCAAAGCACTTCCCAAACTTCACCTGACCACTAACAACCCCCGTGCTTCAGAGTCACGGACAATTATGTCTGTGAAATAGTGTACACGTATATTGCATTATTGTTTAAAAATTAGCTAACATCCCAATGCAGGACCATCCTAAAGAGTAAGCATCAGACTGAGCGAGGTTTACCTGGGTTGAATAATTGTCACTTTTATTTGAGAGCGCGCTGTCAATGCTGTGAGTGCCTCTGTGCGTGAGCGTTTTTCAGTCGCGTCTCTGTGCGTCCTCTGTGCAGAATGCGCGCTCAGCAGCTGCTTCAACAACACGGAATGCTTCCACAACTACCACCACGAGCTCGCTCAGAACCCCGGTGAGCAATTAGGTTCCTTCCTTCCCCCTGCTACCCCTCCACCCACCCATGCCTACACAGCTCCCACTCCCCCCCACTCCCCCGTGACCCGAGGCTGGGCCGTGTTGCGAGCGCCCTGGTGGCTGAGAGCACGATTCCCGTGTAGGGCAGGGAGACTGATGAGGGCTGTAGGTACACCGCGTCTATCCATCGATTCATTCCGACTCTTAATGCTCACGATACATGCATCGACATGCTTGCATAAGAATTTATGTTTTTATATTTATATAACTGTGTGTGGATATCTCTCACTGGGTGCCCTGTGTGTGTGTAGATTTCTCTCACTGGGTGCTCTGTTTGTGTGTGTGGATATCTCTCACTGGGTGCCCTGTGTGTGTGTGGATATCTCTCACTGGGTGCCCTGTGTGTGTGTGGATATATCTCACTGGGTGCCCTGTGTGTGTGTGTGCCTCGTGTGTAGCGTCTCACCGGGTGTTCAACCTCACGCTGTGCGCATTCGTCTCCACCGACTACCCACTTGGTGAGTCCCGCACCGTGAGCCCTTCGCGGGACACACAGACAACACCCAAGTATTTGTTTTAAAAACCTAAGCCACGTTCCTAAGCACAGCACCCGGGCCAGGGTGAAAACCTGGGGGTGAGTGGCTGAGCGGTGGCCGTGTCTCACTGCGTGCTCGTGCTGTCTTCTTCTTGGTGTTGTTGTCCATCGGTGCAGAGTGCGACCACCGCAACTGTACCCTGGACATCGCCGCCTGCAAGCACCTGGACACGGCGAGCATGCCGAGTACGTGCGCACACACGCACACGTGACCTGGAGCGCACGCAAGCATGAGTACACACAACACGCGCCGTCAATGCTCATGATTCGTCGAACAGGATCGATCCCTGTGCTCTCCACACAAACATGGAAGCGTTCGCGTGGGAATCATTGAAGTGTCATATAGCCAAATTATGTGCGTATAGAGGTGGAGTGGCAGTGTATTGGTTAGCGCACTGCACGACGTAACCCGGCAAAATCGATTTCCAGCCACGGCTAACATCAGTGTCCCGGCACTGGGTTTCCCGTCAATTCAACCATATGGCTAAACAACCAAAGTTACCGACGGCGCAGGGATCATTTCATCCAACAGTGGACGGACAAAGCGCTGTTCACTGCCATGGTCAATGTGCAACTCCTCGCTTGCATGGGACGGTTTCCCCTGCAGTGGAGAGGGCAGGGCGAGTGTCGCTGCACGGCGCTGAGCGGGGACCGCGTGTGGGGCAGGGCTCACGCCGGGCCATCCCCTTTTAAAACGACTCTGGCCGCTACGGTTGTGCACTCGTGTGAATGCAAGTGTCGACACTGTGTGTGTGTTGACACTCTGTGTGTGTGAATGTGTGTGTGTTGACACTCGTGTTTGTATTTGTATCTCTACCAGCTGGAGCTGTGGTTGCAGTGGTGCTGGTCGTTCTGGTGGTTCCGGTGGTACTGGTTCTGTTCATCCTCTACTTGCGAAGACGTGAGAACCAGCGCTTCAGATGTATTCACACAAAAAACAAAGATTCCCCGTATAGCCTTAACAGACTGTTGGAGCAAGTGCTGTTAGCGAACACCTATGAAGGCTGGGACGGCACACGAAGGGTGGTTGGGTGGCCAGCACCACACCTTTGTCTCCATAGTGGTGATGTTTAAACACTGTACCAGGTACTACTTTGAGGCTAAGTCGACCTAGGGGAGGCCCAGAACCGGTTCAGATCATCACTGGTGTTGGCCGTGAGCAGGAATCGAACTTGAGTCACCTGGTTTGTAGCGCAGACGTTGCAGTACCGCTCTGTGTCTTTGTCACAAAGACACACACACTCACACACATGTGCATGTGCACACACTCACACACACGTGCATGTGCACACGAACAGGACAGGCTGTACTGCTCAGTGTGCCACATCTGCCAGCTTATGTGCGTGTTATTTATAGCGCACTGCATTTGCAATCCAGAAGTCACCGGCAGTTGAAACAATGCTACAAGTTTCTTAAACCCCCCCCACCGAGCAGTGTCAATGGGTACGCCACAGTCAATCGGCAGGTCGCGGTGTGATTGGGTAAAGTGTGCGTACTCCCACACCTTACAAGAAGCATCAACAGCTTTTGTTCGGCTAGATAAAGGGGGCTAAACGGGTGTAACACGGGCTAGCGCCCTGTTAACTATTGTTTAAGGGCACTTTATAAATTTTAATAATTATTATTAGAGAAGCAATGGAATGATGTGGCACGAACGGAAAGGGAGCTGAGTGGACTTGTCAATGATTGGTACCAGCGATATCAAGATCGGCCTCTATGGAGGAGGATCGTGAAGGACGTTACTGGGCAGTTGGATGTAGTCACCCTCTAGCAACAATGAAAGGCAGAGGAGCAATGCTCACAACAATGAGCGCAGAGCCATTAGGCGAAAACACAGCAAGTTGGCACAGTAGAGGCACAGGTGGTTTGTCTGCCAGTCATCTCAGTAAACCCAATGTACTTTCTGGTATTGTCCCCCGACCTCCTTCCAGGCGGGCGTTTGACACTTCACGTGGCATTAAAGTGCACATAGCCTGGCACATGCGCTGTGGTGACATTACCGCCAACTAGTGGCGAATGGCGGTTGTTGTCGGTGATTGTAGCTGTGGTGGTTACAGTTGTGGTGGTTTTGGCAGCAGTTGTGGTTGCAGTCGTGTGGTAATGACTGTGGTGGTTGCGGTAGCGGTTGTGGTGGTTATGCTTGCTGTGGTTGTGGTTGCTGTGGTTGTGGTTGCTGTGGTTGTGCTGCTGTGGTTGTGGTTGTGCTGCTGTGCGTCCGCTCCACTGAATCACGCGCTGCCTCCTCCTCCACTGCCCTTGTCCCCAGGGAGGCGGGGAGCGAGCCAGGGGGGGTACAGCAGCACCAGATGTGAGTGTACGCGCTCACCACAGCAGCAGCGGGTGGGGGGGGGCACACAGAGGATGTGCAACTCTGAGATCAAGGAGAGCCAGAGATGGGGGGAACATCGCCCATCTCAGATTGACTGACAGCACGGTCTCCGTAGCTACGGCGCGGCGCGCGTGGACACGGACAGCGGTCCCACGCCTCGGCGTCTGCGCTTCCCAACCCGATTTGTGTGCTTGTCAGTTTTTGTTCCATCTTCATGTTCTCACGAGAGTAGCGCCGTCAGGTGGCTGTACACGAGACTGCACGATGGATTTTAAAATCCCTAGCAAATAAATTAAATGAGCGACTCAATAACTTCCTCCTGCTCAGCTCCAGTAACTCACCGGTCCTTTGCAATAGAAATAATGAATTACAGCGCACGCTGATTTAACACACGCGTTTCACTTTGATAGGTCATCGTTAAAATCTTACTTCGTGCACATACACCTAGGCCACAGCTCATCAGTATAAAAAGACCATGAGCATTACTCATTCATCGTGTAATTATTATGTTAACTTAACGTGGATCGTTTTTGTCTCCCATGTGATTGCGGTGTCATCACAGCGGCCTAGGTGCAGGGCTGTGGGGAGAGAAACTCGAGGTCAAGGAGCTGCTGCTCTTCCTTCTCTCCTACGGATTCTACCCTGAGAGCAGCTCGGGACATTCGGTGCTTCCCCTGCACTTCCAGTGACATCACCGAGAAACATGGCTTCAGAAACAACCTCACCGAGCTCCACACCTTCAGAAGCAACCTCACTGAGCCCCACACCTTCAGAAGCAACCTCACTGAGCCCCACACCTTCAGAAGCAACCTCACCGAGCGCAGCACCTTCAGAAGCAACCTCACTGAGCCCAACACCTTCAGGAGGAGGCTGGAGCTGGGATAAGTTCCCGTGGTGTTGATGTCTCTCTGAGTCACCATCCCAGCCACTCGCCTCGGCTGGCAGCTCGCTGTGCCTCCTCCCACTGCGGTTGAATGTTGGTGTTGTTTAAATTTAACTTATTTTCAAAGTTTTGTTATCATTCAGTCTTTAGTTTTAGGCTCGAGTTTAACTATTTTAGTTGTTAACTTTAGGTTAAAGCACCGGCGTATGTTGTATTTATTGTCTTAAAATTTTACATTTTCATATTATTCAGTAAGCGTTCCTCAAATTTACTAATTTGTATTTAATAAGAAGTCTGAGTTAGAATGTTGCCATCCTCACACGACAGCACTCATTGCTGTTGGTATTACTGAGCCAGTGTTGTAAATTCCACAGTAACAGGTCATGGAACACTTTCTCAATATCACAACCGCGACTGACTTCCTACAAACCAATTGTACAAACCCCAATGGGAATATAGTTTCGTTCAGTTCCTGCCCGATCAGGATTTCAACTTGCGACCCGTCATGGTGAGTTGAACTCTCAAACCATGATGCCATCGGATGCCTCCATGTCTGACATCGGAACCATCATCACCACCGGTCCCTTAACCGTGGCACTGTGGGGGCTCCAGTGATGCTTTGGCGTTCAACTCTCTCCACCTCTCGCGGTCAACTTCTGTGACTGACCACCTAAGGGTCATGTCACCTCCACGCGAAGTTATTCACCCGAACAATGGGCAGTGCGTGGCAGTCGTTGGAAGCACCGCATCTCTAAAATGATTCCAAGACTCAGCTATAGAATGTAGATTTTTACCGTTCATGCAATGGACAACAGTAATATCTAAATCATTATATCAACAGAATTATGTTTCAAATACAATTACAAGCAAACTGAGGCCATTGTGGTAATGTGAGCCGGCACAGGAAGCAGCAGGATCTGATTGTAAAATTAGATCTCAATTCACCACACGTGGCATCTCGTGGCACAAGGCTCATTGTCTCAGACCATTGCACTTCTGATTAAATACTTCTTGATTTAAAGCTTTCGTGACTGCAGTAATTCATATTCTTAGTTCTTTCGGTAAAGTCACGTTGAAGGGAAACAATAAAATAATAATATATATAAAACAATAAAAAATTCTCACGAAGTTTCGAACATAACACAAACGGTCGTCTTCAGGTGTGTCGGTTTGCATAAATTTATTGTTTTCCTTCAACGTGACTTTACCGAAAGAACTAAGAATATAAATACTTCTTGTTGTCCTGCGATTAACGCGGTTGGCCGCGTATGGTGCGAAAGAAGTTAAACATACGTACGTAGAGAATGCAGCATTAATTGGCATGAATTAACAGGATTTCTCCAAGTGGAGTTGACTTAAATATCACTGCCACCTAGCGAACCAACATCCCCTCTCAGTTGCCAACCATCGCTCCCTGTGCCCTCTCATCTCGCCCCGGCCTCTCTACTCCTCCCCTCTCTCTCACGGGCAGCCGTTTCCCTCCACAAGCACAAATCGTGAAGATGTTGCGAGTTCGACAGCGACATCCCACGTGTCACCACAGCCGTTACACATTACCCGGCACGTGTCACTTTGAGGACTTTCATATTGGTCAGCCAATGTCAGATTATTAGTTTGTAAAATTTAAGAAAAGTGTGTTTTGAAATGGATATATGAAGTTACATGTTTTCTTGTTGGGGGTTTTAATCCACAATAGCACGCGCCGTTCATTGCGTATTAGCAGATGCGTTCATGACGCCTGACCATAAATCATAAAACCGTGAACACTCAGACTGTGGGCTTGCAGAGTCTGTGTTGGGTGCTGCAGTGCATTCTGGGTAGGGTACCCTGTTTTTTCTCCATTAAGGCAAAATGTGCTCATTTATAATTTATGTTATTTATATTGTTTTTAATGTATATACAGTACAACTTGCATATCTGACCGTCATCTATCCACTTTGCCCAATTAACCACCACACCCAGCGCTGTGCTTGTGCACGGTGAAGCGGTCATCTTCGATTGATGCTCACATATTTGACCTTTACACAAATCTGACCTTTATCCACCTGTAGTTCAGTCTGTAACAAGTCAGATATGTGACGCACTAACAGAAAAGACAACAACATCAGTGCGACCACCACAGCTAACATGAGCACGCTCTGCAGGGTGCGCAGTGGCAGCGTGACCCCAATTTGAGGGATTTTTCAGTGCAGAGCTTGAGGAGAACAAATCGGTTTAGTGAAACCAATTTGATCAAGTCACCTAAAGCCCACATTACAGCCACTCATTTATGAACATGTTCTAAATTATAACCCACCTCAAATAAGTTAGATTTTTTTGTAAATGTGTAAGTCCATACGGTTGTGTTAGATTAACATTGTCACGTAGCATTAGCTGTACTTTAGTTATAATACGCGTTTAAGTAGAGATAAACCTTGCTTAATACAAAATGTTATCTATGCAAGTCTGTGCAGGGTACGCGTCGCTGTACCTGGTAGGAATGTCACGATTCATCGATCAACATCGATTATCGAAAATAATATCCAGCTCACAATATTTTTGTACATATTAAATAAAAATGAGCAAATGATACAGCTGTGTATTTGGTCATGCATGTGCTGAAGGAAGTCTCCACTACAGGGATCTCCAGGGAGCCCCCTAGAGGGCGCCAGGCCTCCTGCTCCACGCGTCTCGCAGTCGGCTCGCACTCTCGCGGCACCAGGAGCCGTTCTCACGCTCGCCGCGTGCTTCACACTCGGTGTTTCGAATCTCACGGACGCGGCGATTCCGTCTCCCCCTCATTGCCGCTGTTCTCACACTGCCACGAGTCGATCTCAGGAACTCCAGTGGCCTCGATCGCGCATTTCAACTTGAGGAGTCTGCCACAGGTGACATCATCGTGTCTTGTGGGGCTGCCCGGCACCAACAAGCTGACAAACCATGTGTACATCAATAGCACTTCCACTCTGTTTGGGGCTGTATAATTGTATCAAAACACCTTGGAGGTGGGGCTTTAATATATTTTGTGAATGTATTTTGTCGGCAATTTTTTACCAAAACCTTTCACTCTGGCAAAGTTGGTAAAAGGTGCGTTCACATTTTGTAGGGATTGCTTCAGTGTTTTGTAATTTATTTTTTAAACAAATGTCGTCTCTTTGGACAGAGAGACATCCCCTTGTCTCTTGCCTTAAACATTGGGAAACCGTGATGTGTATTGCATCTGAGCTGCTCGCTATCCAATATGTTGCATTGCTGCAGCTCATTGACAATAACCATGCCCATTCAAACGATCAGTCGCAGTCGTCTTGCTCAAACAAGCATTGGTTAGTGCTCTACTCGGTTAATGAACCTGAGCTCGCAATGGAAATTCCACATCCCTATCACAGGGACCAGACTATCCGCTGGCCAGCACACTGCTTGGGTTATTGTGATATCACCAAATCCGAAGCGGAGGCGGCCTCAGCTTTACCCAAACTGTGCACGGCGCTCCCCTTAACGACAGCACTCAACGAAAGTGAACAGTCACCAACGCTCATCGCACTTTGTGATTTAACAGTTTGTATGGCGCAGGACGAGCAAATGTGAGGGGGCGATTTCCAACGATGTTGATAATCGGTATTAATTGTTTCTGCTCTTTACAAAATGTATATCATATATTCATTTAAGCATTTTAAAACTCGTAAAGTAGACATTTTATAGTAAGAAATGTCTGTGTTGCTAAAGTAATGCTGCCTGCATCACGACCTCTTTGTTTATTTGTTGCAATGCTCGCGGTTTGTGTTTGGGGCCACGCCAGGCTGGTGCTGATTGGCTCGAATCGCCACGCGGCCACGTGCCCGCAGACAGCAACGCTGTCGGTTGTGCTCCAGGGTGCGGGGAGCGGAGTTAAATCGGCGGTGCGCTCGCACAAGTTGACTCTGAGTTGCCCGGCCTCTCGCAGTGTCGCTGCCCCCAGCAGGCACCCTGAAACTGCGCAGTCTTCTCGTGCCTCAGCTCTGTCCTTTCACACGAACTCTTCTCCAGTAGCTGCTACGACTTCTGTGGCCGGTGGCACAACAATAATTCAAGTAATTCTTATTCATTTCACATTTGCTGTTGATCGTGACCGTGCCAAACACGGTCGTGTTGTTTGCTCGGAGGGGTGATCTGGAGACTGGTTTAACGCGTGATGAGTTGAGATTTATTGCAGCGATGAATGCGCTGCTGCGTGTTGGCTTCCCATAGCTGCTGCTGGTCCACGTGCTGAGAGCAGGGGCCGTGACGCCTCCGCTTTGGGAGTCTCTGCGTTGTTGGCGATGGAGACAGCGGCTCGCGGTCTCACCAGAAAGCGGACGACTCGAATCCGTGAGGCGCGCCTCGCTTTGTGCTTCTCAGAAGCCGTGGGGCACAATCGAACTCTCGTCGAGAGACTTCCAACAACTGTTGAGTCTCAAAGTAGATCCGGGGTCCCTCGACTTCGTTGTCGATGTTGTGTCAGTGTCCACTGGTACTCAAAGTACTCCACGTACAGTCGGCGCCATGATAGGTGTTATAGGAAGCGAGGCCACTTTGATCATAAGAGGCCAAAGTGTAGTGTATGTCGATTGAGGCACACACACTGTTGTGGAGGCAACGCGTTTATTAAACAATTCACTGTACATCGGATTCAGTTGATAAGGGGCCATCCATAAATGACGTCACGCACCCTGGGGGGGGTGGGTCAGACATTTGTGACGATGTATGACGAGGGGGGGGGGGAGGTGAGAAATGTGACGTCACATCAAAATGCGCAACTTTAAAAGAACAAAGATAACTCGTTCTACTTAATTAAACTGACTTTTTAATGTTTTATCCTACAACATCGGAGTGCAGCGCCACATTAAATACGCAATACAATGACAATAGTTTAAAGCGATTTGAATCATGTTTTATATATTTTTTTGGGGGGGGAGGGTCAGAGCTTTGTGACATCATATTTGAGGGGGGGGGTCTCACTTTTTGTGATGCCGTGTGACGATGGGGGGGGGGGGTCAAAAATCGTCCAAAATCGCGCCCCTAAGTGGGGCTAACTTCTAGATTTGAAGCTTTCGTGACTGCAAGGATCCATACTCTTTGGTTCTATTCGGTAAAGTCACATAGGTAAAAAATAAAACAAAAATCACGACGTTTCGGCCACAACACAAGTGGCCTTCATCAGGTGAAGGGACCAAACTGTCCAGCGGACAGCGTTGGAGTGAAGAAAGCCAAGCGCTGGTCGCCTCCTTTTAAGCTGTGAGGGGGTAAACAGTAAACGCCTTGACAAAGGAAATTAGCATAACACGTACTACTGACAGTGCTTGCAATTAGCATAAGATGATAATACACCACCTTGGAAGTTTGGAGTGCCACTATTAGAATAAATATACTGTACGATTGAAAATTAGTTTAATGTTTGGTTCGATTTAGAACATCTTTCCAATGGTTGCTTAATTTGAAACCATCTTCTCGGTTGAAATTGTGTCTGTGTTTGTAAATCTGAATTTCCTCGTGGACAAATCTCTGATGATAACCTGTCGGTTTGCAAAGGGCCTTGGTATCGGAGAAAATTATATCGTGATCACCCACAGCGTTGTAACAATGATCAGCTACGGCAGAAGAATTCGTTCTGCCGTGTTTCAAATCTGATTTGTGCTAATTACAGCGACTCATTTATGAACGTGTTCTAAATTATAACCCAGATCAAGTTAGATTGTTTTGTAAATGTGTAAGTTCATTTGGTTGTGTTAGATTAACATTATGTCACGTAGCATTAGCTGTACTTTAGTTATAATACATGTTTAAGTTGAGATAATAAACCTTGCTTAATACGAAATGTTATCTATGTAAGTCTCTGTGCAGGGCACGCATCGCTGTACACGGTAGGAATGTCACGAGTCATTGATCAACATCGATTCTTGAAAATAATATCCAGCTCACAATATTTTTTGTACATATTAAATACAACTGAGCACATGATACAAGCTGTGTATTTGGTCATGCGTGTGCTGGTGGGGAAGAGCCTCCACTGGAGGGATCTCCAGAGAGCCCCTTAGAGGGCGCCAGGCCTCCTGCTCCACGCGTCTCGCAGTCGGCTCACACTCTCGTGGCACCAGGAGCCGTTCTCACACTC